CTCTGACCCATGCCTGTTCTATGACCACGTCTCTGTCTTCTGCTAGTAAATAGCTTGCACATGGATCCGCATGTCTCAAGTCTTGTCAGCCCTGTAACCGAATACTCGGCCACACAAGGATCCAGCAGCTGTTCAAGTAGACATTGGCCAGGTATGGACACAGCAAGAATTTTATTAGCCCTTAAACAGGGCACACGATCATTGGAGAACTTTACTCGAGAGTTTTTAGCCATCGCTCACTATTCTGATTTACCAGACTGTGTATTGATAGAGTTTTTCTGCGATGGCTTTAACCAACCTCTTAGGTCTAAGCTTAGACGCGAGGGTCCACGTTTGTCACTCGCTCAGTTTATGGATTATGCTTTGTTGACTGTTGGATCTTTGTTTACTGTGGGTGTCGCGGAGAAAGTATGCGACACAATGTCTGTGACTGAAATGGCGGCCACACTAGAGCACGCTCACAAGATGGCAGACACAACAGCATCTAGTCAAGTCACAGCTGATAGTCATGAGTCGAGTCAAGTCACAGCTGATCGTCATGAGTCAAGTCAAGTCACAGCTGATAGTCATGAGTCAAGTCAAGTCACAACTGATCTTCATGAGTCAAGTCAAGTCGCAGTTGATCGTCATGAGTCAAGTCTAGTCACAGCGGATTTTTATGAGTCCAGTCAAGTCTCAGCTGAGCTGCCAGTGCCTCATTACGTCACAGCTGATCTTCTAGAGTCTCGCCATGTATCAGCTGTTAGTCCAGAATCTCGTCACGTCTCAACTGTTCGTCCAGAGTCACGTCACACCTCAGTTATTCATCCAGAATCACATCGCATCACAGCTGATCATCCAGAGTCATGTCACGTCCTGTCTGTCACACCCAGATTCTCAAGGTCAGCCCTTCGGTATCCCAGTCTGGTATCCAGTGTGAGGGATGCACCGCTGGTGTCTGCACACACCGCTGGTATCCCCAAACCCACTCACTCTAACCTTTCTATTCATGAACTCTTTCCCCTGTCTGCAGCACTTCCCATATGGGGGGTTGCTTTATGGTGTATCTGGGCCGCGTACTCCACCGCCGATTTGCTAGAGGCAGCAGCACCGGCTACAACATCTCCAGAGGTGGCGGCTTACGCTGCAGAACCTCCCGAGGTAGCGGTGTCCACTGCTGTGCTCCCAGAGGCCATGGTGTCCACTGTAGTCTCTTCGGAGGTGGCGGCACAGGCTGCAGAACCTCCCGAGATGG